CCCCCCATCTCTCTCCCTCTCTGTCCACACTCTCTCTCTGTATCTCTCCACCCCTCTCCTGTCTCCCTGCCTCTTTTTCTCTGTATGTCTCTGTCTTTCTTTCTCATCTTTGTCTAGCTCTCTGTTTCCATCTCTCTTTCTCGCAGTCTCTCTCAAAGCCTCCCCGCCCCCGCCTGTACCCCACACTCCATTTTTCCACTCCCTCCACCCAGCGTACCCGTGTCACATGGGTATTCCCTGCCACCTCCTGACTGCCCTCACCAGCTCTGCGACTGACAGCTCCTTAAACCAGGTAGCACCAACTGGACCATCCACATTTCAACCCTTCTCCCATTCTCGGGTGCAACTCGCGCTCTCGCGCTCTCTCTCTCTCGCGCTCTCTCTCTCCCCCATTCCCGAGGAGCGTCACCCTCTCCCGTTCCCAGCAGTCCCAGAAGGGGCTGTAAGGAACAGGAAGTATGCTGTAGGCCATTCAGCCCTTGAGCCCACTCCGCCATTCAGTGCAATCGCGGCTGATCCAATTCCCTCATGTCCACTTCCTCGCGTTTCCCATCACCTTTCATTCCCCGACTGATCAAGAATGTATCTATCGCAGCCTTTAATATACTCTGCCTCCACAGCTCTCTGTTCCAAAGACACAAGAAATTCCTCCTCGTCCCAGTCTTAAATTGTCGCCCCTTTATTCTGAGACCGTGCCGTCTGGTCCTAGACATTCCCATGAGGAGGAACCATCCTCTCAGCGTTAATCCTATCAAAGCCCCTTAAGAATCCGATATGTTTCGATGAGATCACCTCCCATTCTTCTAAACTCCAGTGAGTAGAGTCCTAACCTGTTTAATCTTTGCTCATTAGACAATCCCTCCATACCAGGGATCATCCTCGTGAGCCTTCCGTGAACTGCCGCCAATCAAATGATATCTTTCTTTAAGTAAGTGGACCAATACTCCAGTTGTGGTTTCACCAACGCCTTATGCAGTTATAGAGTCATTGAGCTGTACAACACAGAACAGACCCTTCGGTCCAACTCGTCCATGCCAAACAGATGTCCTAAATTAATCTTGTCCCATTTGCCAGCATTTGGCCCCTATCCCTTTAAACCCTTCCTTATCAATGTCCCCATCCAGATGCCTTTTAAATGTTGTCATTGTACCAGCCCCCACCACTTCCTCTGGCAGCTCATTCCATACACGCACCACCCTCTGCGCGAAAAATGTCGCCCCTTTTAAATCTTTCCCCTCTCCCCTTAGACCTAGTCCTCTTGTTTTGGACTGTCTTAGGCTGGGGAAAAAGACCTTGCCTATTCATCCAATCCATGCCCCTCATGATTTTGTAAACCTCTATAAGGTCACCCCTCAGCCTCTGACGCTCTGGGGAAAATAGCCCCAGCCTATCCAGCCTCTCCGTATAGCTCAAACCCTTCAACCCTGGCAACATCCTTGTAAACCTTTTCTGTACCCTTTCAAGTTTGACAACATCTTTCTTACAGCAGGGAGACCAGAATTGAAGACAGTATTCCAAAAATAGCCTCACCAATACAGCTGACCAATACCATAACGCTCCCAACTCCTACACTCAACTCACTGACCTATAAAGGCAAGTGTACCAAACACCTTCTTCACTGCCCTGTCTATTTGTGGCTCCATTTCAAGGAACTATGAACCTGCACCCCAAGGTCTCTTTGCTCAACAACACTCCCCAGGACCTTACCATTAAGTCCTGCCCTGATGTGCCTTTCCAAAATGCAGCACCTCACGTTTATCTAAATTAAACTCCATCTGCCACTCCTCGGCCCATCTGGGTCGAGGTCCTGTTGTACTCTGAGGTAACCTCCTTCGCTCTCCACAGGTGCCATCTGCAAACTTAAGAACCTGCCCTCCTACATTCACGCCCAAATCTTTTATACAAATGATTGCAACAGGCATTTGTGACTCTCGTAGCGCAATTCCAGCAAAAGTACCCTCAAATTTCCTGGACGGGGTGCCTCCCTCTGAATTGCGAGTTTGTCGCGCTGGATGTGATGGCTATAAAAGAGTGACACAGCTCGAATCTCTCTCTGCCGCAGTGGCTGGAACACAGCCTTTGACTGAACCCACGATCCATTTGGCAGACGGTTCAGCCCAGGCCCAGACCGGGGGCACAGAGGGCAGGAATGGAGACAGAAACGGGTGCCAAGGCTTCAGTGCTGGCAGCAAGCCCCAGGACGTCGCAGCCCCCTGCGCACTCGGCCTAGCGAGGACCGGAAGCAGCGAACCACGCCACATCGTTCCTGGCCAACATGAGGAACATGAGCTGTTTGAGTCCACTCCTCCTTCTTCCCTGGTCAAAGCAGGAGATGAGGCATCACTGGGTAAGGTGGGAAAACAGGAGAACTGGGCACGTGGTGGAGCGATTAGCTTAGAACTGATACAGGGCTGTGGGGAGAGTGCAGGGCAGTGGGATTAGTTTGGGGAGTGATGCAGGGCTATGGGGGGAGAGCGGGGCAGTGGGATTAGTTTGGGGATGGATACAGGGCTATGGGGAGAGAATGGGGCAGTGGGATTAATTTGGAGAGTGATATAGGGCTATGGGGAGAGAGTGGGGCAGTGGATTAGTTTGGAATTTGATACAGGACTATGGGGAGAGCGGGGCAGTGGGATTAGTTTGGGTAATGATAGAGGGCTATGGCGGAATAGTGGGAAGTCAGTTAATTCTCGAGCATGAACCTTTTTGAAAACTGCAATCCTCCACTTTCAGTGCCCACCGTCGCCAAAATGCCAGCGAGCCAGTTTGGCCATTCTCCACCTTTGCCTATTCCGCACGGGGTGGTGGGTGAATCTGGCAGCTTTATGCATTCAGTCCTGTCACACAGTTATTACGCTGTCTTTATGCACATTGGTCTCGTTCCCAGAGGAATTAACCCCAGCTCAAAACATCCCGTCTGTCATTCCTCATCTTTGAAGCTGTGCTGGTCGACCCCTCACTGATGTCCAGCACAATGCCCTTGGCCCCTTCCTGTGCAAATTGAGAGGGGGGAGGGAGCATTGTGAGTATTGACAGAGCTAATGGAGCACGAGGGGCTCTGGAAGCCTCGTGATATTGTGTTCAATGGAGCAGGACCAGCTGAGAGCGGGTCAGACTGTGTGAGGGCCCAGAGACCGAGAGAGAGAGAGAGAGAGAGACAACATCGCTAGCACTGAATGGGATGGGGAAGTGGTTGGATCAAGCGTAGACTGAGCTGTTGAAAGTCACCCTCTGGAAACGTGAGGCGAGAAACCGGCTGGGCGAAAATCCCTTTTGACTGGTTACTGTGGGGTCCGAAATTTGTTTCCGAGTTCATTAATACTCACCGTGTGGTTTATGCAGTGTACCATCCGGCACGGTGGCTCAGTGGTTAGCAGTGCTGCCTCACGGCGCCAGGGACCCGGGTTCGATTCCAGCCTCAGGCGACTGTCTGGGTGGAGTTTGCACATTCTCCCTGTGTCTGCGTGGGTTTCCTCCCACAGTCCAGAGATGTGCAGGTTAGGGTGGATTGGCCGTGCTAAATTGTCCTGTCGTGCCCAGGGATGTGCGGGTTAGGGTGGATTGGCCATGCTAAATTGTCCCATAGTGCCCAGGGATGTGCAGGCTAGGGTGGATTGGCCGTACTAAATGTGAGGACCTGTGTGGGATGTCCTTTGGGGAGTCAGTGCAGGCACGATGGGCCAAATGGCCCCTATCTGCACTGAAGGGATTCAAAGTAATGAAAAGTACCTTAGGACATGCTAAATTGTCCGTAGAGCCCAGGGATGTGCCAGCGAGGTCATACAGCACAGAAACAGACCTTTTTCAGTCCAACTCCCCAGCTTCCCAAGCTAAACTAGTTCTCCGCTGGCCTGCGTTTGGGTAATATCCCTCTAAAGCTTTCGTAGTCACGGACTCCTCCAAATGTCTTTTAAATGTTGTAACTGTACCTGTGTCCTCCAATTCCTGTGGCAGTTCCACATATCCGTTATCCATGGTTGATGCAGTGTTACAGGGATAGGTTGAGGCGGGATGCTGTTTGGAGGGCTGGTGCAGATGGGCTGAACAGCCTCTTTTTTTCCCCACTGCAATAATTAGCCCAGGACGGGGTCAAATTGCATGACCGTTCTCTGTGTAGTTTATACAGCAGGCTCAGGGTTCATTAACCCTCTGCGTGCATTTTCTTCAGCCAGCTCCTTGAATCCGCGGAAATCCGCACGCCCAGCGGACAGGGACCCCACGGAGCGCCAGGAGGGGGATGCGAGGCTGCACCTCGAGGGACGACCTCATGGGGACAAGGGCGCAGGCAGCAAGGAGCAGCTGGGCTCTCGGGGAAGGGACGGTGAGTCGAGGAGACAGCGTTGAGAGTCCCTGCGACTGCCAGGGAATGCGAGCTTAATGATTTAATAGGCTGCTGGATGGCCTGGAATTTGCCCGGGGCTGTGGAATTCTGCTTCTGTACTGACCCCAAACCCCTTACCCAGCTTGCATTCCCTCAGGGATTGGAGGGGATGATCTGACTGGAGAGAACGAGGGGGGAGGCTTAAAATAATTAAAGGATTTGAGAGGGTTGATGTAGAGAGACTGTTAATTCTGATTTGTGGATGATACAAAGCTAAATGGGAATGTGAGCATTGAGGAAGAAGGATTTGGAGAGGCTAAATGACTGGGTGACCGTGTAATAACGTGGAAAATATGAGACTACGCACTTTTGGCGGGGCGGGGAACAGATGGGAAGGAGTGTTTCTTAAATGGCAAGAGTTTGGAAAGTGTTGACATACAAAGGGATCATGAGTGTCCTTGTCAGTGGTTAGCACTGCTGTCCCTCGGCGCCAGGGACCCGGGTTCGATTCCACCCTCGGGCGACTGTCTGTGTGGAGTTTGCACATTCTACCCCTCCATGTCTGCGTGGGTTTCCTCCGGGTGCTCCGGTTTCCTCCCACAGCCCAAAGATGTGCAGGTTAGGGGGGATTGGCTATGCTAAATTGTTCCTCCGTGTCCAGGGATGTGCAGGCTTAGGTGGGTTAGCAGTGCTAGGGCAAGGGTGTGAGTCTGTCTGGGATGGGCTGAATGGCCTGCCTGCACACTGTAGGGGTTTTATGATTCTAAGTTGCTGAAGGCAGACGTGAAATTGCAGCAAGAGGATTTGAGTACAGGAGGAGTCTTGCCTCTACATTTGTTGCGTTGAAGTGCTGTGTGCTGTTTCAGTCTCATCCTCTCAGAAAAGATGCCACAGAGGGAGTGCGTCGAAGGTTCACCAGACTTATCCCCACGATGACTTCATTGAGAAACTCATCAGCCGTGGTGGAGCAGACTCGATGGGCTGAAGGCCCTAATTTACGCTCTTGTGGACCGTGCCACGAAGAGAGAAAACTGGTCTCGCGCAGGATACCACGAACGCTGGAAAGGAGAAACAGTCGCAGAGGACACAGGAGAAACTCAGCAATCCATGCATGGCGGGGGGAACCTGGCAGGAGTGGTGTTGGAGAGTTAGGGCTGGACCATTCGGGAGAGACGTCGGGAGCCACTTTCACAAACAAAGTGTGACCGATGTTAGCAACTCTCTTCCACAAATGGCAGTGGATGTTGGATAATTTATTCACTTTAAAATCTGGGATAGCTGCATTATTGTAAAGCGAAGGGGTGTGGGCCTTAGGGTATGGAGTCAGCCATGATCTCATTGAAGCAGGCTCGAGTTGGCTGAATGGTCTAGTCCCACATTGCCGTCTGCGGAGAGAGAAACAGGGCGACCCTTCACTGTCCTTTTTGTTTCAGGGACAGTTAGGGTCGGGAGTCAGAGGGACACAGTGCGAACAGAATCGGATTAGGAGCCAGGGAGAGGAGATTTAATTGCGGGGAATCCCTCCACGTTCTGCTCGACAGGACCGTGGAAAAGCCTTTCCGTCAAAATCTAAAACTCCGAACTCAGCCGCTCCCAAAAACAGAGAGATTTTGAGGCTTCCCTGAGGAAAGAACTGGGTTAAACTGCAGACCCAGCGCAGGAATGTTGGCATGAGGCTTTTGAGACTTGGTCACTGTCTGCCCACTTTTCCCACGATAGGACAAGAGCACACGTTTCTGCCCCAGCCCCAGTTCGAGGTCAGCATGGGGTTAGGAACCGAGTAAAGCCCCCCTTACCCTTTTCCCCCCCATCGAACACTCCCAGGACAGGGGCAGCACAGGGTTAGATACAGAGTAAAGCTCCCTCTACACTCTCTGTGTAGTGTGTACCCTCTCCCAATTGATGTCTCTTCACTCCTGATTCCAACAGGGGCCTCCAGCAAATACGATTCCCGTGAGGGTGACCGAAGGGCTCGGAGTCTCTCAAAGCCGCGGGACATTCCCGGGATAAGGTATGTGGAGAGATTGCACCTGTGATTCCTGGTTTGCAGAGTTGAGGGGTTTGGAACGAAAATAAAGCAAAGCTGTTCCCAGCTCCAGGAGTCAATTCAGTACCAATTCTGAACCAGATAATTATGCAAAGAGGGATAGAATTTGCAGGGCCGGGGCAGAGGAGTCTACGGCTAACAGAATAGGTCTTTCTAATAGCCAGCGTCAGCGTGATGGTCCGAATGGGCCTTTCCAGCAGCCCCCACCTTTCCCCTGCACCCCCCCCCCCGCCCATTCCTGTTTGTTGCGCAGCATTCGTCAGAAGTGATTGTGAGGAGCTTTGGGACATTGCGATATGCAAAATGGCAAGTTACCGCTGGCTGTCAACATGCGGTCACTCTTCTCACACAGCCCAGTGCCAAGTGCAAACTGGGCAGTGCCTGCTTGGTGGTGGGGAGAGGGGTGCAGTGCTGCAGGGGTTGGGGGCAGGGGAACAGTGTCACCCTGATGTCCAGTGGGGCACAGTGCCACTCTGGCACTGCTGAAATGTGTGGGGGGTGGGGGGCAGTGCCAGTCTGCTCCTGATAAAGGGGGGGGGGGG